CGCACGCCCGGAGGAGACCCGCAGCCACGCACTCGCCCCCCGGCGCCCGCCCTGAGAAGATGGCGGCCCCCTCCCTCCCGCCTTCCCTCCCGAGTCCCGCGGGTCTAACGGCGGGCAGCGGCTGGGTGGTCCCAGGGACAGGCAGGACAGATCCAGCCGTGTAATTAAGATCGTGTGTAACAAGAAGAGGAAGCCAAGGGCAGGGGAAGGTGAGGTGCGATGCCTACCTGATGCAAGGAGGGAGGGGTGGCAGCCCACGGGACAGGTCTCCGCACTGTCCCCTCCGTCGCTGCCCGGAGCTGACGGGGACAGCCTCTTCCCTCACGGTTCACAATCTGTCTTTCAACAGTTTCATCTTTTTTACGAGTTCGCTGCCTAGTTTCGAGGAAGCTAAAGCTGAGAAATGCTGTCGTTCCCAAGAGGTCTATGCAAAAATACTTCTAGGCTAAGTAATGTCTATATCTAAATTCGTAGAAAGCTTTTTCTGTACTCGAAGAGGAAGCATTGTCATCAGAGGAGGCGACGCTTTGTTCGTTTAATATAAAGCCACAAGGATTAATTGAGGCAGAAAGTGCAAAACTCGGCCCCAGCCGTGGTGTTCGTGACTGGCGAAGCAGCAGGGAGACTGGCAAGGTGTCACCGAGTGGGCATGGTGCTTCCCTGCATTGGGAATACAGGGGTGTGAGCCACGGCGGTGGTTTCTCTTGGCCTCAAAGCCCATAGGACTTCCAGCCTGTTAGTGCAGAAAGCTTTGGAAGTCTGTGTTTTGGCCCAGAAAATCTCCCGTGGCTCTTTCACTCCCCTCTGGTGATACAGTTACTAGCTTTCTATAAGTGATTCTTTATTACTGTGATTTAAAACTCTCCGGGGAATTCAGATGAGTAAGCAGGTACTCTTTTGCTGCAGTTTGTAAAATGTCCAGATAAATAACTGCAGGCCTACCCAGATGTTACTGCCCTTCGCAATCCTTGTTACTGTTATACAAAGTTCTCCTTTAACATAAAGGATGAAGCTTGTGAACCATATTTATTTTACTTGTTGTAGCAAAGCAGATGAATGAGCAGTGACTATCTGCATGTTCTTTCCTTATTCTAATTCTTACTAGCTTTTCCATTCTAATTGTTTCTATTTTCTTTCATAGAAATCGCCACCATTATTTTTCTTTTAACTTCTGTCTCCGTATAATTTTGTATTATAAACCTTCTCCTCCTTAAGACTTGTGCATGTTTCAGTTAATGGGGCATGTGCAGATATAAATTGTTCCAGTGCTAATGCATTAAACTTCTTGTCCCCTTTGAAGGGGATGAAAAACTTGGGGTCTGGAAGGCAAATAATACTAGATTTTTACTTTTTGCAACAGCTCTTCTATCAGGTGTAGTCTGAATCTGCAGCATATCAATGTAGTACCTAGTGGTTTCATCTCCAGTTTGATATTGAAGTATATACAGCTAAGATAGTATCATCGTGCAATGAATCTTTACATTCTATAGACCATATTTACACATTAGGTTAGATGATTGCAGTGATATCTTCTGATCTTTAACTTAATAAATTCAAAAATTTGCCATCCCAATGAAACTGCTAGGCCTTTTTGCTTGACAGACTGAGCATTTCCCTCAGCTCTCTTTTTTCTGAAGCTAAAGATTTGTGCTTCGGTGAACCTTTTAGAAGACATCTAGCCTTGATATAAAGACTCAGTTTGGAGAATCCACTGCTTCTGTTAGTGTTTTATGACAATGGCTAGTCATGATTACTGTGTCTCCCAGCAATCGCTTATTATTACAATTTTTTTCAGTAGGTTAAGGAGCTATTCAGTACTCAGACTTTTCTCCCTATGAGCATTCTTGTACACTGTAAAGAAATCATTTCTCAGTTTTGTTTCTTGATAAGCCGAGCTGATCAACTCCCTTCTTTCAAAGAGGGCAAAGCTAATTTGAATTGCTTTGCATTGGCCACAAACCAAGACTGAGTACACAGATGGTGACTGTGGGTCAACTGACATGTGGCAACTCGTTGCTCTGCAGTAACACTTTTATTAGTGTGTGCGAGTCCTGCGTCTCTCACTGAAAGGATATTTTCTCAGCCCTTCCATCATTTTTATAGTTCTAACCTCAATATATTATTATCCTGGTTCTTTACTCCTTCACTGTTACATTCAAGAGTGTCATTAGACTTTCTGGTCCCAGTATCATACTGGCTCATCTACCTGTCCACTCTGGCCTCTAGGTGTTTATGAGCAGCACTTTAAGCATCCAGCCCCGTTCTTTGAATCTGTGAGTAAGTAAATGTTGCAGTGGAATGGCTCAATAATGAGACAGCTGTGAATGAGGTTTGCTTATGCAGGATCTGGTACTACTATTTTGTCTCTACTTTTTTCCTGCTTGCTTGCTCATCATTGCTCTTCTCTGGCTTTGGACACTGCTTGCTTGCTTGCTTTCTTATCTGCAATTAATACTAGATAAAATGTCACTGTCTCCTTTGACCCAGTCATGCAGTTAGAGGTCTTCTACTAAAGAGAAATAAATAACAAAAACACTTTCCAAAGGTCCAAGCTTTGCAAATTGCTGTGCTGAAGAGCTTCTAATCTTGTGGATGTGCGTAAACTACAACTCCATAAAGCAGTGTGAAATATCAGGATTTAGGTCTCTCCCTTGCAGAAGATATGAAAATCAGAATACTTGATTTGTACAAACATTTCTTCCTACACTGACTTTAAACCAGCATTAACAGTTTCATCAGTCAGTGTTGTTAAAAACATCAGACCTTCAAAATCATAAGGTAGATTTAAAAATAACTAATTTTCTTCTCTTATTGTTTTTTGAACCTTGAGATATCTTATCTATATGTCAAAATATTTATTTGCATCACTGCCAGTAAGAACCCAAACCAAGGACCAGGTGCTATACAAATGCAGAACAATAAGGGAGCCTCTGGAGATCTGAACATCTAACATTAGCTAATGGAAAGGCAATTGAGTGAATATAGGGAAATACTGGACTGTTATTGGTCTGTATGACAATCTGCGATCTTTGCACACTGTTGCCCAAATGTTTCTTAAGACTTTTTAAGTAGGGTTTTCAAGAAGGATTATGAGAGAGATTGGGATGTTTAAGGGGGAATTATTACAAAATGAGGGTCAGCGTGAGAGAAAGTGCACAAGACCTTGTGTCCTTGAAATTTAACAGTTCAGAGTTGGAGGTTAACGTCATGGATCAGAGGCAAAAGTTAATGTCTGTTTAATGAAAGGACATGCTAAAGGAGTTGTGAGAATAGCAGGGAAAGAACATGATGAGCTGGTTAGCATATTCGATGACCCCTCAAGCAGCTGCCTAGGACTTAAAATGTGTAAGGAATTTTTTTTTTTTCCACAGCAGTCCTGTCATTATTGCCCTTCACTGACTAGCTCAATAACACATTGTTTCATAGAGTTTGCTCTGTCTATCTTTCTTTGATATCAATGTTTTTTTCACAGAATTTCTTTCTTTGATAGCTTCAGATAGTTTGAGGAAATATTTTTTCTTGGCCTTCTTTGTATGTACTCGGTATTTACAAGGATTCTGAGATGTATTGCTTGATTCTATTAAAGGTGATTTGAGGGAACACAACAAGAAGGTGGTTCATAGGAAATCTCATTACCCTCATTGCTTATCTTTGAACTTAAAAAATAAGCATGCAAATAAATGTAGTCTGTCAGCTGCTAATTACTGGATGACAATTTTCAGGCAGGTGGATGTTAAACTGAGAAATTTATGTAGTATGTATAAGTCACAGCAGATAAGTAAAACACTGTGTGATAAGCCTTGTTACTGGATCCTGTTGTTTT